CTATAGATCTAAAACCATAATAGAGTGAATGTGGTTATGGTTTCTATAGATCTAAAACCATAGTATAAAGAAGGTGGTACTGATTTTATTAAACTTAAAATCATAGTAGAGTGAATGTGGTTATGGTTTCTATAGATCTAAAACCATAGTAGATTGAATGTGATACTGGTTTCTATATATATAAAATCATAGTATAAAGAATGTGGTACTGGTTTCTATAAACTTAAAATCATAGTATAAAGAATGTGGTACTGGTTTCTATAAACTTAAAATCACAGTAGAGTGATTGTGACACTGTTTCTATAACTCTTATATCATATTGAGTTATTATGGTACTGGTTTCTATAAATCTAGAATCACAGTAGAGTGATTGTGATAATGGTTTCTATAGATCTAAAACCACAATAAAGTGAATGTGGTACTGGTTTCTATAAATCTAGAATCACAGTAGAGTGATTGTGATACTGTTTCTATAAATCTAAAATCATAGTAGAACAAATGTGGTACTTGTTTATTTAGATCTAAAATCATAGTAGAACAAATGTGGTACTTGTTTATATAAACTTTTAGCTATAAAAGTCATTAAAATTGATTATGTGTGAAAGAGAAAACGCACCATAAATAGACGAACACTTGTAGTAAAGTACAATGTAACTGAGAAACGTGTTTTATCGTTAACTTTATGAATTACTAAAGAATCTTATTTCTTAAAGCTAGAAGTAAAGAAACGTGTAAAAACTTACAGAATATTTATTGTGTGGAAGAAAAACAGGTCCGTACGCAAGGTGTTTGAAAAGGATTTTCTAATTTGTCAGAGCAAAAGCCAAGCAGCATTATTAAACAAAAGCTATTCCTTTATCATTCGCATGATTCCTCACGTATGTACGGGGTTCGATTGTTTAAACTATATTTTATGCAAAATTGCTTCCAGATTTAATCTCATAGCACCTATTTTTCTTACAAGTTTCTTGTTGTACATGCCCTCCCCCCTCCCCCAGCATTGGCATGCTAGTTGTGCTTCGCACAATATGTGAGTTGGGATTGTGAATGTAAGCATGAGTCTCGGGACGTTAGGCATTACAGCTTGTTGTCTCACAATCCTTATGACGATTAGATAAACTTTAAAAACTGTAGTAGATAAACACGTAATCAAACAAAACGTGGACTGAAAAAGGTACTTAAAAGTGTCGAAAACTGAATCCGTATGAATTTGTTTTCGTTCCGTAATAGTGTATCAAAGCTCAATTATTGGAAACTGCGCTGGGTGATATTTTCGAATGTAATCCCAAACTGTACGCTGAAGCTTAAGAGTAGAATATAGAAAGAGAACCACATGTAAGGCATATTTACCTTTCCTTGTTCGATCACCTGGTTCCTGTGTTCAAGCTGGTTAAATTTGGATGTCGATGCTTCTATTGGCGATGAACGAGTACGCTTGACAGAGTCACGTCTTCCGCCACGATAGCTCCGGAGTGATGATTGGCTACGTAATGATGACGCATGGCTTCGCACGGAGCTTTGGGAACGTACAGATCCAGAACTTGATCGCCGTGACCCTTTCAGAAACAACAAAAACGTTTATATACACCATTACGTTAATGAACTGTTTATTATGAATTATATTTGCTGCCGGTTTTATAATATTTTTATTTTTGATAATGTTTTGTAACAATAACCACAACTGACGTTAATTAAGCATGAATTCAAAAATTAAATATAGTTAACAGCCGTCATCTCAATATGTGCATAAAAAAGGCATATTATTTGTTGTGAATACTGCAACAAAACAGTTACGTAATGCTGGTTGACTATTTTAGCGTCCTCATCTTTAGTTTACTTTTCTTCTCAGAAGTCTTGCTATAGTTTCTCGATATGCAAGAAAACAGTTACGTAACGCTGGTTGACCAGTTTAGTGATTTCGTCTTTAGTTTACTTTTCTTTTCAGAAGTCTTGCTATAGTTTCTCGATTTGCAACAAAACAGTTACGTAATGCTGATTGACTATTTTAGCGTCCTCATCTTTAGTTTACTTTTCTTCTCAGAAGTCTTGTATAGTTTCTCGATATGCAACAAAACAGTTACGTAACGCTGGTTGACTAGTTTAGTGATTTCATCTTTAGTTTACTTATGAATCTCAGAAATTTTGCTATAGTTTCTCAATTTGCAACAAAAAAGTTACGTAATGCTGGTTGACTAGTTTAGTGATTTCATCTTTAGTTTACTTTTCTTCTCAGAAATCTTGCTATAGTTTCTCGATATGCAAGAAAACAGTTACGTAACGCTGGTTGACCAGTTTAGTGATTTCATCTTTAGTTTACTTTTCTTCTCAGAAATCTTGCTATAGTTTCTTGATTTGCAACAAAACAGTTACGTAACGCTGGTTGACTAGTTTAGTGATTTCATCTTTAGTTTACTTTTTTTCTCAGTAACAACCTTTAAAGTCTGAAATGTACACGTTGTTGCATTTTGCCCGCTTCACCTGCATTATAGCTTCTAAACCCCTTCTGTTCATTACGGAAAGTGCTGGGTAGTTATATCAAATATTTAGTCAGAGATGAGATATATCAACAAAGATTAAACTTCTGATGTACCTGCTGATGCAGGAGGCGCCAGCATAGAGTAGCTTGCTCTTCGTGAACTAGGGAGATATTCATTACTGCTGCTACATCTTGAAGGGCGTCGTGAATGTGGAACTGATCCTGGTTCTTCCATTTCAGTTAAAACAACAGAGGGCGCTGCGGCGTTACCAAATCTCTCTCTATTCCGTCCAAATCTTGCTCTACAGATAAAGTAAATAAATAAATAAATGCTAGTTAATGTTGGTTTGATAGAAATATATGCTTTAGGATATATTCGTAGTATTGAAAAACAATAATTCACATCTGTATTAAACTTTCGAAAACTAAAATTCCAGTATGTTATTGTATGTAGTGTTAATCGGTGCTTTAAAAAAAATATTTTCCTTATAATAATTTCAAAAAAATCTAAATCAAAGAAACGTAAATTATAAATATTAAATTACTCCATTTGATCAACTGGTATATATATATGGTATGTTTACAAAAATTTTGGGTAAAGTAACATTACTGGAAATCTTATGGCAGGTTCTGATATTCTGTCTTTAAATTATATTATATATTAACCGAAACATCTTACGTTTCATTGTTCTGTTAATACAGGCATGTGACTATTGAGGAACCAGGCTTATAACTCTAGGAGATTAACTTTACTCGTATCTCAGTGATCTATTTTAATAACTTTTGTTCTCTGTTTCTGACTACAAGTGACAATGAAAAATACTTTTAATTGGTGTTAAACGGTATGAACTTTAACACCTATGTCTTCTCCTGGTGTTTAAGTTCCACTTTCATTTCATATATGAAAGCTGCAGATACAAATTAAATTTGATATGTGGACTGTCTTCCTCAGATACATCTCTTGCTAGGAAAACGTTTTACAACTTCAATAGTGTCGTATGTACATTAGTTTGTTTGTAATTTGTCATATACGTACGACACTCTTTCTCTAAAGCCTTGTCGAATAAAATTATTCAAGATAGAAAGATGCTGACGACGTATATTATTTCTCCATTATTGTAATTTATATGTTTCAAGTCTTACCTGCTAAAAAGTCTAAGGACAAGACAAAATAAGGCAGTGCCTATCATAAGTCCAGCGACCACCATTATGACTGTAGTAATGTCCGAATTTTCAAAAATCCCCCTCTTTTGATCTGGAAGGAAATGACAGAGAAACGTGATGAAAAATTTCGATGGTAGTTTTGTTTTTTTTTTTTTTTTTATTTACTATTATACTTAA